CCCCTGCCTTTTATCTCCAGAGCTAGGGTGGGGCTTCGCTAGCAGCAGTGGCTCTTCCTTCCCAAGGACCGGCCCATAGATTTCCACTGCTCTCCTCTCCTCTGCCACATCTATTCATCTCTGCCCCCTGCCTTTTATCCCCAGAGCTAGGGTGGGGCTTCGCTAGCAGCAGTGGCTCTTCCGTCCCAAGGACCGGCCCATGGATTTCCACTGCTCTCCTCTCCTCTGCCTTCTGCATATCTGCACGTCAGGCACTGGACCCAGCTGTTCCTCCTCTTCCTCATCAGCCACCTCCAGACCTGGAGGCTGTTGACTCTCCATCTGAGGGCTGACGGACGGTCCAGGCTCCACCTCTTGTCTCTCTCTCTCTGTCAGCTCCATTCCCACTTCCCCCCTCGGAGCATCTCAGGTTGCCTTGATGCTGATCCTGACTCTCGCACCTTCTCCTCCTCCTCTGATTCAGCTGTTGGAAGGGCCGGCTGCCGAGTGGCCACAATGAGTTGAATTATTTGGGTCAAATGCAATAGCAGGGCTTGGTGACACAATTCTGCCTATTTTATATAGAAACTGGCCTGAACTCGCCTTTTAGAGTCATTCGCAAATAAAGGCACAGTTGCTCTCTTTCAAAAGAGCTAGCCACTTTTTCAAGAGCTCCCATTATTATTTCCATCACTTGCAACTCCTTTTAGGGAAGGGAGTTAAAATTTCAGAATTGAAATTGGCAAATTATACTTTCACTAGTAAAAATCATTTTGTTCTTTAGAATGTTACTTTGATCTCATAGCCAGGAAAAAAAAAAGGGCTATAAATGATGGTTAAACATAGAAACAAAAAGATGTTTCCTAAATAAAACTTTCAAACTGAGTTCCTTAGTTGCATGAGGTTTTAAACAATCCCTCGCTGCCATTCCTGTTCTCTTTTGGAAGAAAAAGAGAGACAGGTCTCTGATTCCAGAATCATACGGTAGAAAATGCATTATTAGGCCCTTCTTGACCATTTATCAGAATTAATCTTGCATCTTTCAAGTACTTCTTCCTAGTCAGCGCCCTCAGCTTATTATTTATAGAATAGAATTCTTCATTGCCCAAGTATGATTGGACACACAAGGAAATTGTCTTTGGTGCATTCATACATGCTCTCAGTGTACATAAAGAAAAATAAAATAGAATAGATTCATCAAGAATGAAAAGATATAACACAGTGATAGTCGAGGTTACTAAAAGCTATCAAATCATATTAGGAAACAATAAAAACAATATAATTGAAAGACACAAGCAACATGGTTATAGTCATAAGTTGGAAGAGATAGATTGAACCTTTTCAGCACCGAGTGCCGAAACACGTGCATGCGCACTGGAGCGCTGGGTTTCCGGCATACGCATGTGCGCTGGTCCACTGGTCTTCACGTGCACCAGAGCACCGGAAACCCGAAGGCCAGCTGGCCGTTGCGTGCATGGCTGTTATTTGGCCAGTTTTGGTCCTTTTTTAAGGCCGTTTTCCAGTGCTCTGGCGCCCACAAAGACTAGCTGGCGATGGCTCACATGCCCACAGAGAGGACTCTGTGTGCCACCTCTGGCATGCATGCCATAAGTTCGCCATCATAGAGATAGATACTATTAAGGAAGAGGAGAATAATAGTAATACAGTCTTAGTAAATTATTTGGCAGTGTTGTAGAAATTAGTTTGTTAAGCAGAGTGATGGCGTTTGGGGAAAAACCGTCTTTGTGTCTAGTTGTTCTGGTGTGCAGTGACCTATAGTGTCGTTTTGAGGGTAGAAGTTGAAACAATGATAATTAAATATAAAATGATATTTTAATATTTTAACATATGATAATACGAATTCAATGATAGAATAATACTGATAGAAGAAATTCTATTTGTAGCTCCCGGATGAACTGTGGGTTCTTCGGCACTCTCTAAGCTTGGTTGTTTGCTTGGAGATGTTTCATTATCATACTAGGTATCATCATAGGACTGATGATGTTATCTAGATTTAGAATAGAATAACAGAGTTGGAAGGGACCTTGGAGGTCTTCTAGTCCAACCCCCTGCCTAGACAGGAAACCCTATAACCACTTCAGACAAATGGTTATCCAACATCTTCTTAAAAATGTCCAATGTTGGGGCATTCAGAGGCAAGCTGTTCCACTGATTAATTGTTCTCACTTTCAGGAAATGTCTCCTCAGTTCTAAGTTGCTTCTCTCCTTGATTAGTTTCCACCCATTGCTTCTTCTCCTGCCTTCAGGTGCTTTGGAGAATAGCTTGACTCCCTCTTCTTTGGGGCAACCTCTGAGATATTGGAAGACTGCTATCATGTCTCCCCTAGTCGTTCTTTTCATTAAACTAGACATATCCAGTTCTTCATATGTTTTAGCCTTTCTTGCAGACATGTGTTATGAAATGTATGCAGGAAAACAACCAACCACAGAGAACACCAAGAAACCCACGGAGACAGAATATTTGGATACTGGATATTCTGAAAATCAGTGCCTGTACTATTCATTCTTTTTATTTATTTATTTTAGGCAGTGATTGTTTATGAATGCTTATCGGAATGGGGACAAGTTCTCTGTGCCATCTGTCCAAATCCTAAACTGGTCATTACTGGAGGCACCAGCACTGTTGTCTGCGTATGGGAGATGGGCACCTCCAAGGAAAAAGCCAAAATGCTGACCCTCAAGCAGGTAAATTAAAGTTCAGCATAAAATCCCAAAAGGTCTTCCAAAAAACCTCTGCTAAGTATTATTGCTGAAGTATGCAACTAAATATTTTAGTATCAAAGCTATCGCCGTTTTTGGAAAACACGCACCAGTTTCTCCATTTTTCTAAATACAGAAAGCATTTCCACCCCCACCCCCCCAAGTAGCATATTGTCCTCTTCTATAGAGGAGATTAACCCTGGCTGCTCTTTAGAAGGCCAGATCCTGAAGAGGAAACTCAAATACTTTGGCCACCTAATGAGAAGGAAGGACTCCCTGGAGAAGAGNTGGCCCCCTCTCTGCCTCCGACACAGAGCCCTCATCAGAGCCTTCCCCAGACTCCAGGACTGGCCCAGGTTCCTCCCCAACCTCCTCACTGTCCGTATCTGCTACCAGCTCCCATGGGCCGCTGACAGGCCACAACAGGGGATCAGTTTGAGTGTCACTGCAGTGAGGGGAACATGACTTCAGTGCTAGGCCCTTCACCTGCTCAAACTCTGGTGTGTGTGTTTTTTTTATTCCACTGCCTAATGAGATTGCATAAACTGCAACCAAAATGTTGCATAAAACATTTGTGGTCTCCAGGTTGATCATCCATGCTTCAGAAGCATTTTTTCTTTCCCCATCAAGCTCTGAACGGCACCCTTGAAAGTAGAGAGAAATCGTCGCGCGTTGAAAATTGTTTGTGTGTGAGGGTGTGTCTGTATCTAAAACCTTTTCCTCCTCTTCTAGGGGGATATTGTGTCCTGTGCGGGCACATACATTCATGTCTGGAGCATTAACGGAAACCCCATTGTGAGTGTGAATACTTTCACCGGGCGCAGTCAGCAAATTCTCTGTTGCTGCATGTCAGAAATGAATGAGTGGGATACGCAGAACGTTATTGTGACTGGGCATTCGGATGGAGTCGTCCGAGTAAGTACCCGTAGTAGTGAATTTCCCCTCTCTCTTTTTTTATATCTTCCTCCTGTTCGAACAATTGATCCTACCTGTATACCTCGGGAGGCCAGCGATGGTTATGCGTATTTGTGGAAGAAACAGAAAAATAAACTTAACTAAAACTTGAAAACGGCCCGTTCTTTGCTCGTTTTGCCCTCCCCAGCCCCCAGGAGCACTTTGCAGGTTTCCCAAACCCTCTGGACTTTTGCAAAGGGGGCGGAGTTCAAAAATGCTGCGTTCAGTGTATAAGACACACCCAGATTTTCACCCTCTTTTGGGGGGAGGGGGGAAAGGTGCGTCTTATACTCCAAAAAATACGCTAACTTTCTAGGATTTCCCGCTGCATTGTAACAATTTCTGTAGATTCCCTTTATATTATAATGATTCTGTTCGTTGCTATTATTCTAAACCAGTGGTTCCCAACCTTTTTTTTGGGCCATGTCCCACCTAAACATCTTTAAAATCTTGATTCCCCTCCTCCCCCCGTGACATATAATTCTAACTTTACTCAAAAAGCGAATTCTACTCACGTGGAGGAAGCCTTAAAAGACCCTTAATTTGGTTTAAACAAGGTTGAAATTGCCCCCATTAAAAATCAAATTGCCCCCCTGTGGGGCATGGGCCCCCCTTTGGGAACCACTGTTCTAAACCCTTTTCGACTGGATGTATCAATAAGAACGGAGTCGATTTTAATGTGTTTAAAACATTCATCTTTATGTATTTTAATGAGCCGTGATTTGCCCTAAGACAGTGGTTCCCAAACTTGGCAACTTTAAGACTTATGGACTTCAACTCNCTCCCTGGATAATAAGCCCAATCGGGCTTTTGAGCGCATGCGCTAAAATAAGCCCTCCCCCGAAAATATTGCAACACAGCAGCAACCATGAGGTCACCACACTCGCCCCCTCCTGCACCTCAAAAATAATAAGACCTCCCCGAAAATAAGGCCAAGCGTTTATTTTGGGGGTCAAAAGAAAGTATGTCTTATTTTCAGGGAAACACGGTATCTAATTTCCAGTTTTCATTCCAGAATTAAAGCTCTATTTCTGCAAGGAATTGGTTACTCTACTTTGCCTTCCTAAATATCAGAAATATGAGCTATGATTGATAAATCACACCTATAAAAAGTAACTTAATGTTAATCTTCTTGAGGATTACACAACATTTTTTTAATTTTATTTATTTATTAGATTAACCAAAAGTGTAAAGCATACACTCTGGGACACAGTTTGGGATTTTTTTGCAATCACTTTTCTAGGCTCTCTTTCCCCATAGCAAAAGCACTTAGACTTATATACTGCCCCCCCCCCCCCCTGGTGCTTTGCAGCACTCTCTGAGCAGTTTACAACATCAACCTATCTGGGTCCTCATTTTACCCACCTTGGAAGGATGAAAGGCTGAGTCAACCTTGAGCTGGTCGGGATCGAACTGTGGGCGGTCAGCAGAATTAGCCTGCATTTACTGCGTTTTAACCGCTGCGCTGCCACCGCCAGCGGTCTTAGTATCGTGTTTATTCCTACTGCTTTAATGTATCTTCTATTCTCTTATTAATTATACATTTCCAAGTCTTGCTTTTCATGGGCCTGAAGAAATAACCGTTTGTCAAATTGTGTAGCAGTGTGTCTTGATTCTGAATCTCGTTCTCTTTTGCTTTGCATTCAGGCGCTGCTTGGCCATACGGAGACGGTCACATGTTTGACGGCTTCCCTGGCCTATCACATCATTGTGAGTGGGTCATGTGACCGCACCTGCATCATTTGGGATTTGAACCAACTTTCCTTTGTAACGCAGCTTCGCGGCCACAGGGCTCCGGTTTCCGCCCTCTGCATCAACGAACTGACGGTATGAGTGAGCCCAGGCCTGAGATGAGGCTTGATAATGTGTTTTATAGGTAGTCCTTGACTTGCGACCATTAGTTTAGTGACCGTTCGGCGTTGCCTAGGATCATTTTCCCCACTGACGGCCGCCGCTGCCTCCCTGTGGTCACAGGATCAAAATTCAGACTCTTGGCAACTGGTTTATAGTTACGACCGTTACAGTGTCCCGGGGTCCTGTGGTGACCTTTCACAACCTTTCGGGAAGCCAGATTCACTTCAGGAAAGTTTCGCTTATGTAACAAACTGCAGTGATTCTCTTAACAAATGTGGCCAAAAAACCCCCAAAAGGTCATAAAATGGGGCAAAACTCACTTAACGCCTTGCTTTGCTATGGAAATGTTGGGCTCGGTTGTGGTCGTAAGTCAAGGACTACCTGTATTCATTCTAATAGACGTCAAGCATTATGTTGCATGTCTGAAGAGCATAATCCCCCTTGGCAATGTTTCTAAAGTTGATGCACATTCACCTTAGCTTATCACCTGGGGAATCTTTGTCTTTCCTCCCATCATGGGAAGCTTTTCCTCTCAGGCCATCTCTGTCCAGATTGCATGTTCGCTCAGAGTGGACCCAGAACGGTTCAACTCCCAGCCACTCACACTCCCTTCCTCCCGTCTTTCCCCAACATCCCAGCGCAGTGGTGATCTTTTAAAAGAAACTAAGAATAAGGCTGTTCTGATCGAGGCTTCCCAAGAGCATGAAGCCAGCTCCTCGTCCTGACAAAAAAACCCTTTTATTAATTATCTGTGAGTTCTGCTCATTCCCATCCAGCAAAGTCTTTCAAGGGAGGATTTACAGTCACAGACCTTATCTGGCTTGGAGAGCTGCCAGGCCGATAT